GATTTCGCAACTTGATGTGTACCTTAATTTTTTGGGAACATTGTTTAGTCAGGATCTTGAGGGAGTGATCTGCATGTGACAAATAGGCATGTTAGCACTCCCCTTTGTCTAAATCCAATTAATATCACATATCAGAGCAGGAAGGTAAGAGTCTGGGGCAAGATGCTAAAACATTAAGTTCTGTAAAATGTTCAGCCATTGTAAATTGTGATTACTGATGTAATGGAAAGGCATTCTCAAATAAGTGGTCCTAGCCTCGGAACAAGAACATGAGCTAGTGTTTTTGGTGTCAGATAAGCCCCTTGTCCTACTGTATGCTTGTGCTGTGTGTTTAAACACTCTTTAATATGTTTTTTTTTCTCCTTGCAGCCAACATTGGATGCAGCTGGATTGGCACCCCAACCCCTGGACCCAGTCCACTTCTAAATCTTGGTGAAAAGTTGATTGTCCACATGGAGAGATTATGGGAGCAAAGAAGGCTTTCTAATGAGCAAAGTCATTTAGAAAAGTTACTGGGGCTCCAACATGAAACCATTCTTGAAGTTGTAACCTCGGTCAGGGAGCAGACTACAGTGTTGCAGAACCTTGGTCAAAACATCTGGGCCTTATGTCAAGCAGTGGCAGAACAAACTGCAACTTCGGCAAGATCCTCACAACCCATATGCAGTTGCTGTTTGGGGCAAATGCCAATGTTGCGACAGAGTTCCCCCCTGCTGAAAGTGCAGGGGAAACAGCAACAGACTCCAGAACTCTCCACTCCTGAGCAGCCCCTCTAGATATCCCTCACGAAGACCAGTATTCATGGATACTTCCACATGGATACCTCTTCTGCCCCTTCCTCCACTTTGCCCCTTGACCACACCCCCACTTTCACAACCCCCACCCCTGTTTTTAAATGCCCCTCCACTTATTCATGTTTCCACACTTACCTTCCACGTTCTGCCCGCCACTCTTTAACCCCCCGCCAATCACCTTCCCTAGCCCACTCTTCCCAGCTGTCAGAGGAAAAGACGAGGAAGCCCGGGCAAATGCGCCAATGCGCAATATGGACACGCCGATTCGTGCAAAGAAGTGCGCATGCGCATAGATGGGTGCCATGTAAACATGCATTCTTGTGCACAAAAATGCACCAGCACACGCAGTGTGCACTAATTGCTGACACTCAGTGGCCTTTATAAGGACTGCAGCGCTGCTCAGTGATTGCTGGATTATCATCAGCCACTCCCGTTCCTGTGTTCCTGAGTTTCCTGCTGAATACTTGTTACTGACCCGGCTTGATGCTGACCTTGTTCCTGTCTGCTGCTCTGTGTATGATCCCAGCTTGCTCCTGACCTTGCTCCTGTCTCCTGCTACTCTGTGTATGACCCCGGCTTGATCCTGACATTGCTCTTGTCTGCTGCTCCATATTTGATCCTGGCTCTGGCTACTGACTACTCTACCCATCCTCCGGGATCCACTTTTTCTTTGGAGAAACTCCTCCTGCAACTGGAGTGCTCACAGGTTCCAATCTCATCAGGCATTTCCAAGCAGCAACACCACTGGTAACCCGTGCTTCTTTGGACACTGCACCTCTTGTTTCCACCTCCAGGGTCACACTGCACTTAGCCGTAAGGGGAGCCCTCTCTCTATTGCAGCCTCCGGTCAGGTACGTGACAGCATAATCCAGCCATAATGTCAGAGGCTGAGAGAGGTGTCTCCCCGATTGAGGCTCTGTGCCAGCAGCTTGCTGCCCTCACGCAAGGGGTCAAGAACCTACAAGAAGGCTATTTCCAGTTAGAAGGTTGTCTGCAGAATCTTGCCACCCAGGGCACCCTCTGCATCCTCTGCTTCTGTTCAAGAAGGCCCTGCAGTCGCTCCCACAGTAATGCTACATCCACCGGAGCCAAGAGTACCAGTCCCGGAACGCTTTTCTGGAGATTGTTGAAAGTTCAGGGCGTTTAATAACGCATGTCTGTTATATTTGGCACTTCAACCCAGAACTTTTTCTTTTTAGAGTCTGTGAAGGTGGGGTTCATCATTTCGCTACTTACTGATGAACCTCAGTCCTGGGCACATCACCTCCTGGAACAAAAAGAGCCCAGTTCTGAACTCTGTTACTACCTTTTTTCAACGTCATGTCCCAACTGTATGATGATCCCCAATGCATGGCCACAGCAGAAGCTGCTCTTCACTCCCTCCAACAAGGTCGCCGACCCGTGGAAGATTATATGTTTGAATTCCATAAATGGTCAGCAGACACAGGCTGGAATGAAGTCATACTCAGATACCAGTATCGGCTTGGTCTCTCTGAAGGACTCAAAGACAAATTAGCCAGAGTCGAGGCTCCTACCTCCCTTGAAGGCCTCATCCAGTTGGCCATCCAGCTAGGCAGTCACCTGCAGGAATGGCAATCAGAAAGATCTAATTCCTACCGTCCCTCCTGGATGCTACCCAAGGTGCCTTCCTTTTCTGCTCCTCCCACTGTGCCACCTGCTCCTGTTGCTGAAACTGAACCTATGCAGATTGGCCTAGTTTGCTCCTCCTTGTCCCCAGATGAAAAGACACATCAGAGACAGTCCAACCTATGCCTCTACTGTGGAGCAGCCGGACATTTGTTACGAAATTGTCCTGTGAGACCTAGTAAGTCTATCCCTCCACAGGCTATTTACTCTCAGATTTCCGGATCATTACCAGCTCACCTTGTTCTACCTATCCTGTTGCAGGTGGCGGAAAGGGAAATCAAGCTCCAAACGATCATTAGCTCCGAGGCATGCAGCTGTTTTTTGGACATCACCCTAGCAAAGAAGTTGCATGTTCCTCTGAGAGACAAAAAACAAAAAACTTGCAGTCCATTTAGCCGATGGGACTTTTCCTCGATCTGGTCCTGTAACACAGGAAACCATTCCTATTTTGACATCCACAGACTCAGGCCATCAAGAATTTCTCTGCTTTGACATCTTGTGCTCCCCCATGTTCCCGATCATCCTGGGAATACCGTGGCTTTGGGCCCATAACCCTCATGTGGACTGGCCTACAGGAAAGATTTCCTTCTCCTCCATATGCTGTCTAGAACATTGCTTTCCCCCTGAACTCACAAACTCTTCTAGTTGCCTGACCGTTCAAACGGTGCCCGACACCAGTCAAATTGTGCCCCCAACCTACCACCAATACCTAGATGTTTTTGATAAACGGAAGGCCGACACGCTACCACCTAACAGGCCATATGACTGTCCTATCGAACTCCTTCTCGGGGTAGAAATTCCCTGTGGGCAAATTTTTCCGTTATCCGAAGTTGAGCTGGAGGCTCTAAGAGTGTACATTGACGAGAGTCTTAAGAAGGGGTTCATTTGCCCCTCTCCTTCTCCTGCTGGTGCTGGAATCTTCTTTGTGGAGAAAAAAGGATCACTCACTCAGGCCTTGTGTGGATTACCGGGGACTAAATAAAGTAACTATCAAAAATCGTTATCCGCTCTCTCTGGTCCCGGAGCTCTTCCAAAGATTCCGTGATGCCCGAATATTTACAAAACTGGATCTCCGGGGCGCTTATAACCTAGTCAGAATCCGCAAAGGAGATGAATGGAAGACAGCTTTTAGAACCCGCTTCGGGCACTTCGAGTACTTGGTTATGCCCTTTGGGTTGTGTAGCACTCCTGCAACCTTTCAACACCTCGTGAATGACATTTTCCGGGAATTCTTGGATCACTTCTTGATAGTCTACCTTGACGATATCCTTATCTTTTCTGCCACCCTGGAAATCCATCAAGTGCATGTCAAAAAAAAGTCCTAGCTACCCTAAGACAGCATGGATTATATGCAAAGGCGGAGAAATGCGAATTTGAAAAACTATCAATCCAATTCCTGGGCTTGATCATATCCACTGATGGGATTTCTATGGACCCCCAAAAGGTAGCTGCCATCACCAACTGGCCGGCCCCCACCGATAAGAAAGGTGTCCAAAGATTTGTGGGCTTTGCCAATTTTTACAGGAGATTTATCAAGAACTTTTTTTCCTCTATCATTGCTCCCATTACCCAATTAACTCAGATACATACCCAATTCCAGTGGCCTCCGGAAGCCCAAGGGGCCTTTCACAAGCTGAAGACTCTATTTACCTCTGCTCTGGTGCTACAGCACCCTGACCTCACTCTACCCTTTGTCCTTGAGATCTATGCTTCGGAGATTGCCACAGGAGCAATCCTTTCACAACTTCAGGGGCCCAAGGCTCTCTTGCATCCAGTGGCCTTTTTCTCCCGAAAGATGAATCCCGAAGAAAAATTACGACGTGGGGAACCGCGAATTACTGGCCATTAAATTTGCATTGGAAGAGTGGCGCTACCTCTTGGAAGGCACTGCTCACCCTTTCATGGTTTTTACTGATCATAAGAACTTGCAATATCTTCAAACCACTAAACGGTTAAGACCAAGACAAGCTCAATGGGCCCTATTCTTTTCAAGGTTCAATTTTCATCTAACATACCGTCCAGGGTCTAAAAATGGGAAAGCAGATGCCCTGTCCCGTATGTTCCCAGACATTCCTCAAACAGCTGCTCCCAGTACTATTTTATCTCCACATAATTTCTTACTCATTCAGCCTGATCTAAAAGCAGCAATTAAACAAGCTTCACTTTCTTATGCCGGGTCTGAGAGGTTATCCTTAAGGAAGCATGAGGATTTCTTGTGGCATGAGGACAAGATCTTTGTTCCTGAAGAAATCAGGCCACAAATATTTAAGATATGCCACGACCACTTGCTTGTAGGTCACTTCGGGGTACAGAAAACCACTGAACTTGTCCAAAGATCCTTTTGTTGTGTCTGAACTTTAACCGCCTCCCGCCCGCCATATAGTAATATGATGGATGCAAGGCAGTTCTCTCATTCTGGGAGGACGTCATATGACGTCCCCCCATTCTCACCGCGCATGCGCGGGCTCCGGGAGCGCGCACAGTGGGGCAATCGGCGGTGCGCTGTGTCCCTTGGACACAGCGGATGACCGATCTACGGAAAGAGCCGAAGATGTCGGCTCAGTCATGTGATCAGCTGTGTCCAATCACAGCTGATCACATGTAAACGGAAATGCCGGTTATTTGCATTTCTCTCCTCATGAGCTGTCACGATGACAGCTCGAGAGGAGAGGAGAGCCGGTAATCGGCATCTCTCGGAGGGGACATCTACACAATCATCAGAGCACTGATGATCAGTGTGGCCTGATGATCTGTGTAGCCCCAGCAGCGCCACCTGTCAGTGTCCATCAGTGCCAGCTCTATGCTCATCCATGCCACCTTCCAGTGCCCATCAGTGCCACCTATCAATGCCAGTCAGTGCCACCTATCAGTGCTGCCAATCAGTGCCACCTGTCAGTGCCAGTCAGTGCCGCCTGTCAGTGCCAATCAGTGCCACCTATCAGTGCTGCCTATCAGTGCCAGTCAGTGCCACCTATCAGTGCCATATATCAGTGCTGCCTTTCAGTGCCCATCAGTGATGCCTGTCAATGCCCATCAGTGCCACCTACCAGTGCCTCCTCATCAGTGCCCATCAGTGCCACCTATCAGTGCCCATCACTGCAGCCTCATTAGCGCACATCAGTGAAGGAGAAAAATCACTTATAACAAAAAATTTTATAACAAAAACTAAGAAAAAACATTTTTTTTCAAAAATTTCCAGTGGTTTTTGGTTTTAGGAAAAAATAAAAAACCCAGAGGTAATTAAATACCACCAAAAAAAAGCTCTATCTGTCACAAAAAAATGATAAAAATTTCATATGGGTACAGTGTTGCATGACCGCGCAATTGTCATTCAACGTGCAACAGCGCTGAAAGCTGGAAATTGGCCTGGGCAGGAAGGGGGTATAAGTGCCCTGTAGGCTAGTGGTTAAAAACACTTTAATAGATGCATATGCAGACAAACTCAGCTGTCAGATATAGCTGTTAAGATTGTGCCCATATCTGACTTATATGGTATTTACTGTAAATGTTTTAGTTCTTTGGGGGGGGACATCCGAGATACAGGATGATGCAAACCAATCTAGACAAGTGAACCCTTCTACATTTGTTACATGTGCATATATGTAAACATTTGAGAAACTGACCTGGAGGGATCCTGGCCTCTGCATCCTGGGGGGTCCTCCCCCAGAGCAGCCCTGGCATCCTGAGGTAAAACTATGTGAAGAGTAAAAAAAAGACCAGGTAAAGAAGCAAGCCCCGACATTAGAGAAAACAAATGGGTGTTAAAAAGTCACCTAGTACAAGCACAAACTAGTTAGCCCTAGCCATATCCAAGATAGCAAAGTCCTCTTTTTGTTTGTGCAACTAAACTAGATGACAAGACCCAGTAGGGCTTAAGGAAAACATCGATTGGGCACTTGTTGGCACACGCACTACAGCAAGCTACTCTTATCCTACAATGCTAACATACTCTCCTCTCTGACTGTCCATTGAAGATGTTTCACATTACCTTAGGACATACCCAAATGTCACAGCTGACAGCCATGACAAGGAACAGTCTTCCTTTGCAGTTGTGTGGTGCCATCTTTACAATGTTTGAGAAGGTTGCTCTTGCTAAGGGAAATTGGGTCACACACATCAGCTTAGCTAAGCCTCCACTGATGAGTGTCAAAACTAATTGGCAAGCCCTTGCAGCCATTTCAGCTTTCCTTCCTGGGGCCTACAGACTAGTGACTTAAATCATTCCAATGCAGAGACCACAGGTCTGCAGCAGATATGAGGTTTCACAAGAAGATTTCACAAGGTATAAGCCAGCCTCTATCAGTCTAGATGCAGAAGGGCTCACTCCATACACTATTCACATCCCCTACGCAAAATCACAAATGCCTCATTGAGTGTAAACACATGCACACTGCAATGGAGCATTTTTACCTTTGTTCAGATTTTGTAGAAAATACACAACTATGTATTTTGACAACCGGCCCACCCTTCCACCACAACACCCCATCTGACCAGACACTGTACAATAACAAATATTGTTGTTAAAATTCACACAAATGTGACATACCTCGCAAAACTGGTCCCTGGGGCTCAGGGTTGTCTGTAGAAAGACTTCAATCTTTTTTTGCTTTATAAGGAACCACTAAAGAATCCCTATACTAATAATGACAGGGGAAAGATCCCATAAGGATCACATAACCAGCACTTGGATTAATATTATTTAATAACAATGCTTTAGTACTTTTCAGTTATCAGTAGTAGTAGTTACAGGATCCACTTCTAGGGATACCATCATTTATTTATTTTATTTTCATATCCGTATACTACCATTTATATATTTCCGTATATTTTATATTTGCATATATTTGTTGTTTATTTACTGTAGATGTTTTAATAGTCATTTAAGTTATAGCTGGAGGATTTTTCTGTAGTATATATGTTTTTATGTTCATTTGACTAATATTATTTTAGCCCCAAAAATATGTCCGCCTATAGGTGGAATACCCCCTTATGGCAAATAGGGAGGTTCTCTTACCTTAACATGCCATTATTTATTTATTTAGGTATAAGAATATTTTTTAAGAATACAATTTTATTTAGGTATTTATAAAGTTATACCAATTCCAAATGTTTATAAATGTTTTTAGCTATTTATAATTTTTTAGATCATTGACATCCAAATATTTTGTATGTATTACAGATTATACACATACATGTAAATAGGCGCATAGTATAGCAATAGGTAGCCAGTATTAGTAAGTATTATATAGTTTTTGTAATGCTTGCACACGCACAGTTTCCAATTAGGCACATCGATTAAATATGGGTGTAACAGGCAAATTGCAGTAAGAAGAGGATGTGAAAAGGATCCTCTGTGTGAGTGATCTACACACACATCTCTGTGTGATTACACTCAAACTGGGCTCCAAAAACATGGCCGCAGCCATGTTGACTACCGGCGTTCTCTATATAAATGAATGGGCATTGTGTCGTCCAATCAATTCCCCCTGATGAGGCCACGTGACCCGGTGGGGTAATGCGTATGGGAGGGGCTCTGACATCACACTTAAATCAATTGCTTTAACAACGTTTCAATGTTGCCGAGTACAGCAAGTACTCAGCAACATTGAAAAACTATACTGTGGATTTAAATTCCAACATTTTAATGCGTTTTTAACTTGTTACACATGTGAGTGCACCACTTTATTTAACAAATTAATTTTAAAGAGGATAAGGAACTATATTCTTTTATTACATTTCATGGCTATTACACCTATGAAGATAAATCCCTAAGGAAGCAAGAAGACCCCCTGTTGAGAAGAAGGAACACTGTTTATCCATCTATTCATCCCAAGGAAAGAGGGGTAATCCTACCCATATACCACTAAGTCCAAATAAAGGGACACAAGCTTTTTATGACCTCACTTAACGGTTTGGTCATATACCCCAGGTGAGAGCACAACTGGTGGAGTTGTATAATATTTTTTATGACTGGTGGACTGCATGGTTATATTTTTTTGTATCACAGAAGTGTCAAAGTCACAAACATAATATGGACATGTTTGCAGCAGTAATATAATTGCAGTGATATTGATATATATTTTTTGATGCTGTACTTTTAGTCATTTAATTTTTACTTTTTATTAATTCACAATTGTATTATTGCAATTGGTAGTGGAGCGCGACACTATTTCTGACTGTATTCCCTATAATACAATGCTATGAGTATGTGTAGAGTATAATCGAACCACATTTCTTCACAGTTTTTACACACAATTTAATTTTATTTTCACCATTGCATTGGTTTTACATTAATTTTAGTAAAATGTAAAATATTTAATTATTTAAATATTCACTTGCACTTTGTATACACCATAGTAGCTCACAAGACCCCATACTCTAGTACTATCTGTTGAGGAGCTCAGGGTATGCACAGCGGCTGCAGGGAGCAAGACACCAGCACTAACAATACCTAGCATTCCAGCATTCATTTGGGTACAAAGCATTTTTAAAATTAGATCACCCAACCTCCACCATCCAACTTGTAAATACTGGCACTGTGCAGATGTGCATCCCTAGGAAAGACTCTGCTGACACCGCTGTCCACTTCACATGGACCCAGCGGCCCCCAGACAAGGCTGTGATAAAAGCTGCCCCGAGGACCATCAGTGGGGCTCACTGGATTATGGGTCATTTATCAGATACAATAGGGACTGCATCCAGCTGAAACCCACACACATGGATGGACAACCAGCCCTTTAGACCAGCGGTAGAGAAGCACACTTAGGTCCTGCACATGGGAGGAAAAAAGAGGAACGCCAAAGCTGCAGGTGGGCTCAAATTCATGAGTTAGGTCTTGATAGTACGGGGGGGGGGGGGGGGCAGGGCCCTTACCCAGCTGTGCTGAAATGGAGCTGTCAGGAAACAATGTGTTGTAACATCTTCACACCATAACTGGTCCATTCCGCTGGGTTTGGGTAAGCATAAAAATGTGTCAACTTTGGTTTTCTCCATAATGGAATATAGGGAGACAATAGATCAGTGCCGGCTAGTGTATTTGCATACACCACATGCCAAGCTTTAACGACTGAGCACATAAAGAAGGTAAGACAGTAGGGAGATTTATGACCTCTATAGACTATGTGACCTAGAGCCTCATATGACCCCCAAGCGAGCTGCCTCCAGAGAAATCGAGGCATCATCTACAGGAGTGGTCAGCCACTGGTGCGCAAAACAAATTGGTTGACCAGAAAATATTTATAGAAACTGGGTACCGCTAAACCCCCTCCCACCGCGGTTGTAGTATAGTCAATTTGAGGTGCAGGGTCTCCTCCATGTCATAAAAATGATAACAGGCCATCAATTCATTTAAATATTGATTTGGGAATCCACACTGGGGAATTTCCAAATACATAACTAAAGAGGGGCAGAACTTTCATTTTAATCAAATTAATTTTCCCAGTCAGTGACAATGGAAGATTCTTCCAGGCAGCCAGTTTGTTTTTAAGGAGAGTAAGGAGAGGAGAAACATTCAAGGGAATATAGTCCGCCTCTGAATTCATGGTTACTATACCCAAATACCTTAACATGGAGATCCATTGAAGTGTAATAGTGGGGTCCACTGGCCCAGATACTGAGTGGGAGCGCAAGGGTAGAATTTTAGATTTGGTCCAATTTATTTGCAGGCCAAAGACCACTGAAAAACTGTTTAGGATAGACAATGTAGCATATGTCCAGTGTCTCCAAGAAAAAGGACCAAGTCGATCGTTATTTCTATGAGGTTGCCTCCCTTAATCCCAATGTAACTGAGAAGATGAGTGCAATGCTATTGCTAGCAGCTCCATCAGGAGAGGAAACAACCCTGGAGAAGGGGGGGGGGGGGGGGGGGGGGTGGCAACCTTGCCTGGTACCACTGGATACTGGAAATGTGCCAGACACCTGACCATTATTTGGAGGGCAGCCA